TTTTTGACTTATTTCGTTTTTTAATATGTTCTCTTTACTTTCTTTCATTGTCTTTTTAATTTTCTTTTGATAGAACAGCATAGAAAATTCGACCCATTCTTTTACAAAACGATAAACAAAAAAAGAAAATTTTTCAACTTTCCTTTTAAAAAGTAATAAGAAAGTAAACGTGTCACTCCTATTTATCACTTCTCTTTTCTTAAGTAAATAATTACTTTGTCATACTACAAATTGGATAAACCTTTTTTTTCACAAATATAAATATGTCATAACTTTTCATTACTATTATTTTTGCATTATTATGTAGAAATGGCAAAACGTATTCTATTCATTGGTCCAACTGGTTCAGGTAAATCAACACTAATTAATGCATTATTCAATAATGATATTAAGAAAGAATCTTTGTCAAAACCTGCTGTAGCTAACGATACGTCTTCTGGTGTCACATCTACTTTTACTACTTATTATGATTTCCCAAGTTATGCCTATACAGATTCTATTGGTTTCGGTGATAATCGGTTTGATCATAATCAAATTTTTCGTTCTTTAAAATGCGTCATTAAACAATCCATGGTTGGCTATAATCGAATTTATTTGTGTTTGAGATATGGGCGTATGTCAAATTATATACGTTATTATATTGAATTTTTAACAGCAGTATTTGACCAAGGTATCCTAGATTACTGTACACTTGTCTTTACACATTGTAAAGATAAATCAATGACGACACAATTGTATCTAGAAAAAAATAAAGATGATCAAGATATGTGTGGTATAATAAACAAAGTCCACAATGTTGTCTTTGGCGATAACAATGTAGATGATGATGAAGAAGTCGATAAAATTCTACTGGTTAGAAGAGAAAATTTTTTAGGCCAAATTAAAGCTGATATTAATGAATCAAATGAACAGTATTATATACCACGTCCAACTGATTTTATAGAGTGGATTACTCGCATCAATTACATATTTAAGAAACTTATACTGAATTCGACATCGCTTTTTAGGCTAGGTGCAGCAACTGTACATGCAATTACGCACGGCGAGATAAAATCTCTAGCAAAATTCTTTGAAACAGAGAACTGCGTAAAATACGAAGAATACTATGGTGAATGTCCAATATGTTTGGATTCAATGTGGTCGAAAGATGCAACTATAACAAAATGTCATCACGTCTTTCATCAACAATGTTTGCTGCAACTTCTAACACCAATATGTCCTATATGTCGTGAAAACATTAATCTATCTGAGGAGAAGAAATAAATTTTGAAAACAACTTTTTAAATAACAACTAGAAATAAAATACAAGAATTGCACGACTTTTTTATTCTCAATTCAAAAAGAATGAGTCTTCACAGCGTTAAGGCTAAGAGTGTGGGTATATTTATAGAGGGTGGGTGTGGGTGTTGGGTATGGATATGGGGTGTAGGTGTGGGTGTGGGTGTTTATCTTCTCTTCACTTACACTCACACACCCACACCCACACCTCAAGAATAGTAGAAGAACATCAATAGTAACATTTTATCTATGCTTTCATCACCTTCGCACGATATATTAGACTCTCAATTGACTAAAAAATTAACCTACTAATACAGAAATTCATCATACATTTTCAAACAATGATGTCTATTGACCTGTTTCTATGTATACAAACACTTATGGTAATATAAGGTGAGAACAAGAGAAACTCTTAGATATCATAAAAAGAAAGCAAGGCATGATATTATTTATTAAGTTTTTTTGTAATGAATTGCTTTTTATTTTGCTTTCTATTGACATAAAGATAACGACTAGTTTAACAAAAAGTGAAGCACTTAATATGAAACAAAACTCAGAGAGAATGAATATCACGTCTAGATAGAGTTTTTAGAGTTATATTTGTAAAAGAGTTTTGAGTGGTGCTGAAAGTTAAATGATTAAAATTGCATTGATGTTGTCATTTGTTCTTGAACTCTACTCAGTAAAGATTATAATGCAAGTTTAGTATGTCAATTTCCTTCAAACCAAAAATTAAGACAACAGAATAATGAAGATGTGCGTGTAGATGAGCTTGTTTTCATAGACACCAACAATCTACACCTTAGCTCATAATTTACTCATTAGTATTTGTATTCTGTCTTACTTTGTGGTCTATTTGATATACTTAACGTGTCTAAATCGATTACAGAGAAAAAACAATCTAGAGTATCCTATTGTTTCTATTCAAAAATATTTCAATAAATAATATTAGAAGATAAAATCGAAAAATATTTTCTCATTGTAGAAAATTAAGATGGAATTGATCGGTGTTTCTTGAGAAACTAACTATATGTAATATGAATTTGAAAAAGTTTCAACACATTACTATATTTTTTATTGAAGTAAATCTAATTCAGATCAATAACGAAACTATTTCGATGAAACAAAAAATAGTTTTTTCAATGATGTAAAATGATGAATTATTTTCAATGTCATATCAGAATAGTTATCAATATATTTATTTTTGACTTTTATGGAACAAAAACCTTTCGAATGAATTCTTAGCTATTTTTATAATTGATTTATCATTTGGAAATTTGTCTTTTTCGAAGTGTTTCGAAGGAATCTCATACCTTTGATGCATTATTCTAGCACTTATATCACAAAAACTCTACACTTATGACATTAATATGTGATCCATGAAAATGTTGAGTGTTTTTAGGAATAATGAGTGAGTGAGATTGAACGTATAAATACGTTCCTCACTTCAATATCAATAATCTCCGTAAACACTTATTTCAAGAGCATGTTGAACTTGATTTCAATGTTCAACAACATCATTTATGTTCATATGTTAGATTACGTAAATCAAAATATGATTGTTATACAGTAGGAAAAAAAACAAAAATAACAGTATTGAATTTTATTATTAAATGAGCTGTGTGATTTTCGTCAGAGAAAAATATGTACAATATAAGCTATACAAAAAGAGAAGTTTATAACAGATCAGTACATATATATGTCTAAATTAAAATTATTCTTCCGTAAAAACTTTCTATAATACATAATTGAATTTTTATATCATCTTCGTAATCATCAACTCTATTTTTTGTACTATTGATGCGGCTTATATAAATGGTAAAAACTGTATAGTATTAATTCATACAAATTTAATGTATCCAATTGATTCGTCTATTAATTTTTATCAAAATTCTCATTGATAAACAAAAGTATTAGTAGAAAAGTAAAAGAAAAAAAATTCTAATAAAGAAAACTAATTCAATGAGATAAATCTTTTAGTATTCAATGAACGCATCTACTAAATCCTTAAAGCATTTAGGTATGAGCTAACAAGAAGAGCTCATCAGATTCACACCCCTCTATTATCTTCTGTATTACAATTAAATATTAAATAAAACAAAATATAGATAAAGAAGAAAAGTAAAAAGGTTGCTTTCGAGCAAAAGCAATGAATGATTCATTCGATTCATTCTCAAAAAAAAAATTTACACGCACAACTTTCAACAGTATTTATCAGGTCATAATTATACAAAAATTACAAGTTTTAAATCTCTAATCGAAATGTATTTTTTCCTGTAAACGAACTTTCTCAATTGCTCTTTTCTAACAGTAAAAAGGTCAAACATTGTTGCTATTTCATAAGAAAAAAAGCAAAACAATTAGAATCTTTTATTCAAACTGATATTTTTGTTACCAATAAATTGTCTATATTCATGTTGAAGAACAGCAGTGTAGTGTCAGATTCAACAAGATATATAAAGAGGTTAATATTAAAACAACATTCACCGAAATACTGATAAAGAATTCGTCTATTTGTGAATTTTACCAAAAGACTCGTTGTTTAACTTTACAAAAAATCTTTTATTAAAAGTCTCCTTATTAATAGAAATTTCTCATAAAAATTATAAGGACGATATCATTTACTCGAAAGAGATTTGCAATTTTCTTTAAATCTCTTCTATGTCTCATAGATTCACTTATACTTTTAAGCATAACAAAAAACCATGCATATATGTCTAATGAGAAAACAAAATGTGATTCATTAATTTATTTATTATTACTACTGAGATTTCTTTTATAGACCCAAATCATTAATCTATACATAATTTTATTTATGAAAATTCTGAGATATTTTTCAATGAACTCACAATGAAACTCTATATCTCACAAATACTCGATAAAAATATCAATTATCGTTAGAAAATCACAGAAAACAAATATTCGTCAGAATATGAATTTATCCTTAACGAGAAAATATTCCAATAAGTTATTCAGCATGTTTTCTTTTTTTTTTTAGTGTAACGCCTCACTCTACACCTATAATCGAAATACAGAATACACCAACAACTGTATGATGGGAGATCTGAATAAAAACAAAATATACAATTTCTCAAGCAACTATAGTTTAATCATTTTCTAATAAAAAACCAACATCGAATTTTTTATAGAAACTTAAATATCTACACTGAAAACAAAATGGAATTGTTGCATCTGTCGAATAATTTTTATACAAGAGAAATATAATGAGAAATACATGAAGACATTCATCAAATGCTCTACTGCTATCATTATTGTCTCTCTTAGAAAATACTTCATTTCATTCTAATTAAATGACATTACTTCATAGAGAGTACTTTGTCAGGTAATTAAAAACAGTTACCACTTTCATTTCTACAATGTCAAAATACTCATTAATAATTCAGTTAAGAAAGTGGAACATGTAAAGGCAATAACATTCATTATATCTAAACGAAAAATGCCTCTTTTTTGTACTAATACTTTGTCTGATATACAGTTTCGTATAAAAATCTAGAAATAATATTACTTTTACATTACAGTCGTTTGTTCAAAATGTTTATAATGATGAATTTTGTTTTCATCGATAAATCTTGAAAATTTAAATAGTACAAATATGATATAGTCTACCATCAGGAGACTATTTTGAGATGAATTCATAGCTGTTTATATATTCATTACTATATCGATGAACATGACAATATAAATTAATACACATCATTCATAGTTTGTTATGTACAAGTTGATACATTTTGGACGAAAATTAGATAAATCCTGAGAAGCACTATATTCCAATGAAAATAAAACTCAATAACGATGAAAATCACTTGAAATGAAACGAATTCATCAATCTTAAATGTGTAGAAGTTTCAATTTTTGCACAACTAACATTTCTTTAAAGAAAAGTCGAAAAACTATACGTGAAAAAAATTTACGCAAAAATTTCTCAGAAATTTCTCAAATACATATATATTGAAGATAATGAAGACGCCCAATAAAAAATATATTGTTCTGTAGAGAGACAAACACTATCTTATTCTATATAATTTAGACATGTATATATTTCAGACATTCTTAAAATAAAGATCACATTTTGTAAAAACAAAACACATCTATTTTTTAAGTTACTCGAGTTGATAAATTCTCTTGTCTTGTATTCTCATTTGAAGACGAGCAATGTGAGGGAGAAAGACAACACCCTATATATATGTAACATGAAAATTTTTTTTCGTCGACGGTGACATGATATAGATGTATGTCAGACGAGAAAAAAAAATCATCAAATCAATTAAAACAGAAGTGGAATGATTGATAAAAAATCAATCAAAATTTTGAACATCGGTCAATTAATCTCAGGGTATATAAAAACATGTATATATCATTATGAAATCATACACTCGAGTTGTATTATTATAATGCATTACAATGTATTTATATACCCGGGTTTATTATTATTATGATATTATTTACAATGATAATGATATTATTAAATTCTATATGAGGTAAATAATAAATTCATTATATATTTAATAAAACTTTTTTTTTCTTTTTTTTTTAGATGAGTTTCGATACTATACAATATTGAGAAGCAAGAAAAAAAATTTTTTTTACATGTTCAGTTGAGTTGAGTTGAGTTGAAATAAGTTATTTTGAGAAAAAATAAATACTATCAGTTATTATGAGTATGAGTATGAGTACTTTTGAGATGAGATGAGTTGAGTTATGAGTGTTATTAGTGTGGGTCAGAGAACTACGTTGTCTGATTCAATAGGGACAGGAACTTCCGTGCCATAGCGAAGCAGTGTAGTGCTAGGGAAGGCCTCTATGTGTCGTTGGTCCCTATCGTTAATACGGTATACCTTCGGCCATTGCCCTACCAGTCCGGCGTGGTCCGCCTGTGGTACCTATGGAATTGACAAGGGATCTTTCCCTTGTCGCGCGCGCGCGAATAAGCCAAAATGAGCCGAGAAAAATCGAAATGATTAGCG